CGCGCCGGTCCGCTATAGGCAGGTGAAGTGGGGTCCAGGCCCTGCCTAGGCTTCGCACGCATCACAAATCGAGAATCGAGAATCGAGAGTGTGAATGGTGGATGGATGTGCAGAGGTGGAAGCTGTAGCTATACATACGTCATTCTGATTGTTGGCTGCGTCGTCTCTCGAGTCAAAAAGCTGCGCATCTTCACTTGGGGGCCTAGGCATCTGTTCATTCGGCTTGCGGCGTGTTCGCAGAAGTATCTTGAAGGGGCGAGACGAGGCGAGGCGAGGTGAGAAGGTATAATAAGAGTGACATTCACCTCTCCTGCATTCATGGCCCACTTACTCGCCCATCTCTAGCGCCTCCAGCTTCTCCATACATTCCCACGCCCACAGCACTCGTGACTCACCCCTTCTTTGCAGCGCTGCGTCGTCAACACAACCCGCGTCCCTTGCTCGGCAGGATGACCTTCGCGCAAGACCTAGTGGCGGCGCTGGGCGAGTTTGTAGGCACCACGCTCTTCCTGCTCTTGGCGCTAGGCGGAGCAAAAACAGCGACGTATTCGCGCAGTGCAGCGCAGACCGAAGGGTTGGAGACGACGTTGGGCAATCAAACCATCCTGTTCATCGCATGTTCCTTTGGTCTCTCTCTGCTCATTACCGCCTGGATGTTTTACCGCATCACTGGAGGTCTCTTCAACCCAGCCATCACGTTTGCCTTGTGGCTCGTAGGCGCCGTTCCCGCTTTCAGAGCCCTGCTGCTCGTCCTTGCTCAATTATTGGGCGGCATTGCCGGTGCTGCCCTCGTCGCTGCCCTCACGCCTTTCGGTGGAGCGGATAGCACAAAGACTACGCTGGAGCCCGGCATCAATATCGGTCAGGGTCTCATGATCGAAGCGTTCTTGACTGCCATACTCGTCTTTTCAGTGCTCATGCTAGCTGCCGAGAAGCACCGTTCGTGAGTCGAGGCGTGCGGGGGCAACAGCAAAACCGAAACGCTTCTCAGAGCCTTTGCAATACTGATACATCTCCGCCCCACACGCCTCTGCAAGCACTTACTTGGCACCCATCGGTATCGGACTGACGATCTTCGCTTGCCATCTCTTCGGAGTTCTTTGGACAGGTCGTGGCATCAACCCCGCTCGCGCTTTCGGTCCGAGCGTAGTGTCCGCCTCTTTCCCATCCTATCACTGGATCTACCACGTAGGCCCACTGATCGGAGCACTCATAGCAGTCAGCTTTTACACTGCTCTCAAAGCCTTCGACTACACCAAGATTGTATTTGGCCAGGATGCGGATCATGCGGAATCGACGACGCAGAACCAGAACCCTTTGAGCAGAATCACGAGTAGGGGAGGTAATAAGGGCAGGCTGTACGTCATCAGGAAAAAGGTCAAGAGAGGTGGAGGTAGGAAGACGAGCTTGAGCTTGAGCGCTTCGACAAAGGGAGGTGACGGATTGCCGTTGCACAGCGCTACCGAAAAAGTCAGCGGCGCGCAAGGTATCAGCGATCCGAACACGGCGGAACAGGCAGATGTGCAACTGAATGCTCTCACAGCAGCTCTTCAGTCGGGCGAGGCGGTGATTCTGGACATGTCTTCTCTGGAAGTCACAGCTGCTCCGTCCGGCTCCGCTCCTCTTAGAGACACGGGAGTGGATGTGGACGGAGGAGCAATTGGAGCGCCGGGCTCTGCCAATAATGCCCCTAGTGCCATGCAAGATCTCCTCACCACTTCAGTCCCTGTCACGGGCGTGCCCAGCATGAGAGCAGACGCGCAGAATACGGGCGGTTTGCAAGCGCCTGGAAGCGTCGAGGGAGGGTGAGTATGAAAAGAGCGCGTCGTGATACATAGGCACTGGCTGATTGACATGATGATTGGGTTCAACTTTTTTGTCTTGTCCTTAGGTTAGCTTTGGTACCCAAGCTGGGTCAGGCTCTGGGCTCTTGACAGCAGCGTCGACGCGTTTGCGATGCCTTTTGGATGTGCACAGCCGGCCTCG